TGTGTGTGTGTGTGTGTGTGTGTGTGTGTGTGTGTGTGTGTGTGTGTCAAACTTGCTGAACGATAATAGAAATTAACACTAACAATTGCACATTCATCCTCGAATAACAGCCAAAAAGGTTGCGAAAATAAATTGAACAGAAGAAATGAATGAAAGAAAAATGTTAAAGGCTCAAAAGCACGCCAAAAACTATGCCACAAATTATACGCTCAAACGGGTTTTTCACACGTCAACCATTACAAAAAAAAAAAGGATGGTAAAAAATAAATAACAACAAACGACTTATGCTGAGGTTTTTGTTAAAGTTGTAGATGACCGCAGGTATTTTTTATCGTTAAGTGTAACAAACTTGAACAAAGGATCACATAGTACATAAATACTTGCTGTTTTCGAAGAGCGCTCAACCATTTCGTAACTGTGTATGTATATTACTAAATACATATCCATATGTACATGTACAGTTGTTCGTGCGAGTAATTCTCTTGTTGGCCACACTAACACTTTCGACACCTTTTAACCGAAAATCACCTTTCAGCAAAGCAATTTTCACTCAATCAAAGTATAAAAAAAAAGACGTAGGGAGGGTGCGAACAAAAATTTGTGGGTGTGCGCGTGCAAAATATTTCTTCCCCTTTGCTGGCTGATTTCTGGCGAACTGCAGAAATATTTGCTTTTCTGCCGCGATTTTTACCTTCATCGTCATTTTTTTTATAGTTGGAATGAAGCTGGTGCGAACGAGTGTGAGCATGCACACACATTAGGGTGCCTCACCAAAAAAAAAAAAAAGTTGCGGTTTTCCACTGGATCTGTAAAGACTTGAGTGTCGAAATTTTACGGGTTTTCTAGCTTTTAAGAGCCTCCGAGAGGTTTTCTAACTTAGCACGTAGTTAAACCTATAAGGTACAAAGTAACTTACCGGAAAATCTCATGCTTTAGAACTAAAATGTGACCAAAATTTTTTATATCTTTGAAGGTCCCTGAAGGACATTGGTACGACTTGGAACTAACCCGATATTTTCTAGTTTATCGATAAATTTCAGTATTTTTTGATGATTTTCAAAAATACTAAAATCCGATAACTCAACAAAATTCGATAACTCGACTAATTTCGATAACTGTGAAATTCAAGATTTCGATAAATTTGATACATGTCAATAATTTGATGAAATTCAAGAATACTAAAATCCGATAACTCAGTAAAATTCGATAACTCGACTAATTTCGATAACTTTGAATTTCGATATTTCGTTAAATTTGGATAACTTAAAAATTTATATATCTAGATATAAATCGATAACTCGATAAACTTTGATACCTTTATAAATTTCCATAACTCAGTTAATATTGGAAGCTCCATATTTTAGGAACTCATTATACTCTGTTAACACGATAACTCAGTAAGCATGGCTAACTTTTTTAATTTCTATAACTATAAACTTCGATGGTGCTATAAATTTCGGTAATATTTATGACTCAATTTATTTAATTTCGTATCGACAAATTTCAATTAAGTTTTTTATTCGTTCTGTTATCGTAATTTTTATGTGTCTCTCATTGTCTCCATTCTCGTCTGTATCTTCAATTTTGCATTCTCTTTTTTGTCTTCATCCTTATCATTTATTTCTTCATCTTCATATCTATCTTTATTATACAGTTTAATTTCAAATATGAATTTAAAAAAGTTCGAAAACAGCTCAAATTGAACAGGTAGCTACAACAACCATACACAAATACTGAAATTTTTAAATTACAATTTTTAGATTTTTTTTTGCAACTCGCTTCAGCTCGCGCAAATCATAATAATTTTTTGAAGTATTTTGGCGAGATTTTGTAAATCCGGTGAAGAAACAGTACCGACTTTTTCATGGAGAATGATGCACCCTAATACAGTTTACACGCATAACTGCACGCGTGCTTAAGTGTGATGAGGGTTATATGAGAGTGTGTACATATGTGTGCGTTAAAGGTGTTGATGTGTTTACCTTTGACCCCCTTTTGGCTTCATATTTTGCTGCTAAATTTTTTTGCTGCCCGTTTACGCCTTTCGCACCTAACTACTACATACCTTTTTACACGCCATAAGCATGGTAGAGCGTTCGATTTTTGTCGTTTGGATATCTTTTTGCACCTTTCGTCAATTTAACGACTGGCGTTTGTCGTCAATTTCTGTTAAGCAATTTGCGCTTGTTACTGTTCTTCATGTTATCCTTTTCACCCCTTTTATTCACGTGGCACACAAACGTCAAAACGGTCTGTACAAAAAAAAAAAAATTTAGCCAAGCCAAAGTCGACTTTTAGGCGCTTCATCTAATCACCTTTGCATTTTTTTCCTTTGTTTGTAGTAAATTTGCCGAAATCTTTCAAGGCACGCACACTTAAGGAAGGGAAAGAAAGGAAACTTTTTGGTTACAGCAAATATGTAGGTCTATGCTGCCCTAAAGACACTTCAATACTTAGGAGAGGGCGCTCGTCTTTTTTGCGTACACTTTTACCTTCCACCTAAGTACTTGCGTGGCTCCCTATTCAATCCTGGTATCTTTGTTACTGAACTTCCTATTCTCTTTCATAACTATTACCATTTTGTATCACTCAGTTGTTATTACTCTAGTTAGGGGGAAACATTTTTCTCTACCTCTAAGTGTATATTTCACCTTCTTGTAACGCCCATCCATAGGTTCCAATTTATGCTGACACACATGCCACTGATACTTACTATTATTTCTATTATTATATGTACATAACCTTCTTCTACGCCTAAGTGTATGCCTACATACTATACATATAAGTAAAGCAATTTCAACTTGTCATGCCATCGACAAATCACACGCAATTCACACGCAGCCTATTTCAAGCGTCGATTATTGCTTTTTTATTATTATTATTATTATTATTATTATTATGACGCACTATGCACGCTTGTTGACGGCAAAGAGGGTAATGCGAGTGAAGGAGAGTTCGTTTTTTCGATCTGTGTTTTAAAAAGTTGAAGAAAAGTTTTGCTAGACTTCACTTTCTGCCATTTTTGTCGTTAAGTTGTTTAGTTGCACGTGCTGTAGTAATAGTAGCAATGAAAATTTTTTTGGCGGCATAAATTTTAGTTGCTCTTACATAGTTTCCTTGGTTATTATTACTTGTGAGCATTTTTAGTTTTCTTGTGAAAAGCTGCATATTTTTAGGGTTCCCCAACAACTTCTTGCACACTTTGTAGAGTTGTTTTCCAACTTCTGCTAATGCCACAACTTCCTGACTTTTTGCGGCGTTCCGTTGTCAAGCATTTTTACCTATAAATGTAGGCAGATATTTGCATATATATTAGAGATCTGCTTGAATAGGTCTACTTTTCCTATGGAAAATGGGAGAAGTAGATAATCAAAAGTAAACTTTATGCTGTCTCGCCACCAAAGCAAACAATGTTTTTCATTTTATGACAATAACAGTGCATTTTTGAAATAACAAAAAAAAAATTAACAGGCGCCAAAGACTTGTGGCACTATTCACACTTTTGAAAGGCTTTTACGTGTAGTTCTCCATACTGTTTTCGAAACTATTATGGCTAATGGGGATCGAAGGATTTGCTTAGTTCTTTCATGAACTATTGGAGCATTTCCGATATTTTTGGATGTTGTTGTTGTTGTAGCAGCATACAAATTCCCCAAAAACTTTTTGGGGAGTGTTGCTGGAGTGACAGTCCTTGGCCAGATATAAATCTGGGTCGTTCCGCTAACGTAGACCCGACTGTCGTGGGAACGGATAGATATCTATCTAAGATATTTTTGGATCTTCAGCTTCTGTTAGCTTTTGCTGAAATTTTGGAGACATTGCAACTTTTTAGAATTTCTCTGGATTTATGGGAATTTCATTCATATGTCTAAAATTTGATGTAGAATTCTGAGATTTAAAATATTGAAATTTTTTTTGGGTGTTTTAGGAGATTGTTTTTCAGAACTTTCACGTTATGTTGGAACATTTAGTTTTTTTATCTTTCGAGAACTAAGACGCCGTTCGGGATTTTTTACTTACATAATACAACTTTTTAAATCATTTTTATAATTTTTATCATAAGTTTTCGATAATTTCAGAATTTTTGGAGGTTTTAGAGATTTTTCAGAAGTATTATTAGTTTTGGTTTCTCGTCGGATCAGCTAATATTTGGTTTTGTGAGATTTTGAAATTTGTTTATGTGATTTTTTCAGTATTTTCGCGATATGTTTGCACTTTTTTTTTAGATTTATTGCTAGGTCAACTAAAACTTGGTTTTATTTATAAGATTTTGAAATTTTTTGAGCTTTTTTCAGGATTGTAAACGTTGTTTTGGAGCGTTTGGGGAGTTTTAGATCTTTCGAGATCTAACTACACATTTGGGAAATTTTGGCGAATTGTTTCGAATCTATTGACACTTTTCGGCATTTTTCTAACTTATTGAAAATTTAGGGAACTTTCAGAATTATTTGAAATCTTAGTGATTTTTCAATTTAGTTACGTTTTTTTTTTGGTTTCGTCTGACTCTGTAATATTTAAATTTCGGAAATTTTGTTCAGGCTTTTCACGATAGATATGCTGGAACATTTCGAAATTTTTTAAACTTTTAACATCTGACTACATTTTCCTGGAATTTTTTCGCCTTTCTTGAAATTCATTCAGTGTTCAGTATTTTTGCGGACTTTAACGAATACTTTTAAACTTAGATATTAAAAACTTTCGGTTTTTTGAGAATTTTTTTTGGGATTTTAGGGTTCTGATGAAAAATTTAACTTTTTTATTCTTTTGTAAAATCACATAGAATTTGGTTTTGTAAGCAAACATTTTTTTTGGCAACTTTTGAGAATATTTTTCAGGATTTTAATTTTATATTGGAGCATTGCGAGTTTTCTTTTTGATTTATTGAAAATTTCCGGCATATTCCAGAATTTTTGACAATTTTAGGAATTCGTAGAAAATTTTAAATTTTTGTTTGTCTTCTGGTTTGATCTGGAATTTGGTTTTGTAAGCAAAGTTTTTGTTGTTGGAAAGTTTTGGTTATTTTTTTCTGGATTTTAACGTTGTTCGAACATTTCGTTATTTTCTGAATTTTTGAAATGAAATGATACTGTCTCATTTCAATTTAATTTGGATTTCTGAATTCTTTGATTTTTTGTTTGTTTCATGTAGAATTTGTATGCAATTGAAAAAATTTTCAGTTTACCTAAGTTTTGACTATTTTCTCAATTTTTCTGGTCTTTAAGGAAATTATTGATAGTTAGATAAAATTGTCAGCATATTAAGAATGTGTAGGGCTTTTTCGGTTTCTTTCCGGATTCTGCAGATATTTTTCTTAACTTATTTTTCATGTCATATACTATTTGTTAACTTATTTATTTACTTAACTTTGACAGGTGGTAACTCTAATGAAATATTCCTAAATATGTTTGGATTTACTTTTGTTTAAAATTTGTTCATTAAAAAAAAAACAAAAATAAAACAGTTTAATTTGAAACTAAATTTTCTATCTGCATAAGTTGCATTGCACGCCGTCGGCATTGTGTAGTAAATGATGTCGTGATCGGAATGTTTCGAACATTCATTCAAAACCATTTATGCAGCTATCTAGTATACAAGTAAACGTACGTATGTCTATGTCTGACTTCTTCTTCTTCTTCTTCTTCTACTAGAATATTATAGAACTTACCCACAGATATAGATATGTTTGCTTTTTGCCACAAAACTAGTAAGTTTGTGCTTTGGTTTGTTTCTTGAATTGTGTAAGTCGAAAAGTTTTTTT